ATCGCAGCCGCTACCTTTAAGTTTGCTTGCAAGGCTTCTGCGACCTGAGAAGGACTGAGTTTAACCTGAGAGGACTACCAGTACCATCCTTTGAGTGCGACATGACGGCTGCTCCTCTTTAAGTCCGAATGAATTAACTCAAGTGTTTATTTTCGTTAGATTTCCTGTCAGCGCTTAATATCTCGACTGTATAGGATTCACCGGATCACAAGGTGCAGAAAAATAGACGATTTCTATGTAGATCAACGGGTTCTTACTCTTTCCCCAAAGCATTTTCGGCCCAGCCCCTGTATTTCAGTTCTCTTTAGGGAATGCGATTCTTCAAAGACTTCTCTAGCAGGGAAGTTCATGACTCATTAGGAGAAGTCATATACAGTCTTTCCCGCAACTAATCGATACCTACCCAGGAATTTCTTATTCAATTCTTACATTTTTTTTCGAACCTTGCTACTATTATTTTGTCTTCAGCTTGCCTTCGGCCGTGATTATCCGCTGTTCATCTACTTTATGTGTTCGGTTGAGTATCCAGATCACTCAATGGATACATTTCCTGTGACGTTTCTGCCGACATGCATCAAGGAAGTGCTTCGTGGAGGTGTGGAGCGATCGGAAAGTGATCTTGGTATATTAACAGTTCCTAACCATTTTTATTGGATTTCGAGAAATTTCAGTAGCTCACTTGATGGCTTACAGATGTGAAAAGCGTAGTGGTCCGTCTGGATTTGTACGTGATGACGTGGCCAAGCGAAAAGATGACGAAAAATCGGCTCCAGGACGAAAGCGATACAGATACCGACGAAGATACCCACAGCCAGCGACAGATACGATTTCTCGAGAAAATGCCCAAGAAGGTAGGAATGCTCGAATTTCCAACAAAACAACCAGAAAACCCTTCTGATCTTTTTAAGCTCAAATGGCGTTTGTGGAGTAGTCATATGAAGTGATTATAAAGACTGACAAAAGACTAGTGAATGAGAGCAATTCCAACTTCAACAGTGTAGCTAGATGAGTGTGTCTGCGAGCTGGGAGGAGCTTGCGATGGAGGGGCGGGTTTGCACATGCAAAAAGCTTTAGGACAGTTGGTAGCTTGAAGAACTTTTTTCATAGCAAAGGCAGCGGTGGATCGGTATGTCTGAAAGTATGCTAGCTTTGAGGTTGCGTGAAAAATTTCCTATGCCGTAGAAAAAATTGTTATGGATTCATTTCTTGGATTTAAATCATCTTCATTTTTCAAGGAAATCAGATTCCTGTAGATTATGGAAAAGTCCCCGAGCAGGACATTTGGGGTTTCAATAGGCGGAAGTCAATCATAAAAGTTTCCGCCCACCTAACAAACTCACCGGGTATTTCCTCCAAATGTTTCATATCTAGTTGTATGCGTCATCTTCTCTATATGCCACCTCTCGCTCCTCATCAGTACAGAATGTTGGTGCCAAACTCTGATGTGTTGAGATGTTTAGGCGACCCGTTGTTAACGACGCCATTTCACCGGTAGCGGTCACAAAACGTAACTCGATCGCAGCAATACCTGCAACGATTATCGCATAAAGTGGATCGCTGGGAAGGGTTTCAGTTGCAGTTGCGAAACATAGCAGTTTCTCACCAGTAGATCGAGTTCCCTTCTTGTGTGGTGACTTAACAAGTAGATAGAAAATCGGGACATATGAGTCTGGTTGTTTTCCAGTAAAAGGCAATGGCTGGAAAACAGAACGCTTCGCCTGTGCACGTTCCTCCCGAGCCGTAATCCTCCTGAAATAAGTTGGAGAACTTTTACATAAGCTCAACTTCATTGAGGATACTCGCTCTGGATCCACTCGCTTTCACGATGTTTGACGAAACAGAGAGCATGGCGTATACCTTGTATCTCGCTGATGGCATCACTGCCTGCATGTGCTGGTGTGTGTAGTAATTGAGCGGCTGCAGCAGTTGAGACATCGAGTTCGGTATCGAGTAATTAAACACACCTGCTGGTGACACTGGATCGCGTTGTAAGAAACTGAAGAGAACACTTAGATGGGATAGCTCTTCCCTAACCACTAGAAGCGCCATAGGGCAGTATGTGTGATTGCGCCACGTACTTGCACATCGGCGCTGTCCAGCCTCGTCTGTGTATTTTTAGCCAATGTATCGATGAGGTGACTGAGTGTGACATGATCGAGGCGCTTCTGAAGAACATCAGCCAACACCTCACAAATTCTGTGCCCTTGGATGTTCCACACCATTATACTAGCCAGCCAGAGCGTGTGTCTTGAAACGCCCTCCACTCTCTGAAACATATCTGCAGTATAATTGAAAACATCTTTGGCATAAAAAGGACCTTTTTGAGCTCAACAAAATCTGTTCATTTTCGCTAGAATTTACCTTACCTTCACTTGACTTTCTCATCATATGGATGGGAGGACCGCCCTTCTGTTGAAGCTTTTCTTAACACACGTTGACGACAGCATGACGCGCATGCGCGTCAGAATTTTACCCGATTCTGGCAGTTTTTTTCGATTTATTTGGCATTTTTCATATTTCAAAACTGTGTGCATGCGTCATCTTATCCGAAAAACTGTGAGTCAATTACCAGTAGTGGAATTATTGAAGAAGTTATGACGATTGTGAAAAAATAAACAAAAAGGCGCCGAGATCCATGCCACGCACAAGGGGCTGTCGTCAACGGGTTAATATATGAAGTACTATTGACATTTTATTTGGTTCACTCCACTTCATGAAGTCACTGCGCCTTTACTTCTGGGCTAGTTCCACAAACTAGATTTCTAGGAATGCAGAATGTTGACGTAACGCTGGAACCTCAGCAAATCTGTGCTATAAGCATAAGCATTCACGCGCAAAAATTGGGCAGGACCCCCGTTCAAACTCCCGTATCTAGGTAAGAGAGCGTAGACGAGCGCGAAACAGTCGCGGCCCAAACGACTCGAATTTACGACCTTTGGCACTAAAACATCGCCGTGATATTACATTAACATGTGCACCTAACGATAGTCGTGAACTCTAAAGATATCTTTGTTGAATTTTTAACTTATAACAAAACACATTCAACCATATCTTCAAAGAACTTACTTTGGCTCTTTGTTCTTTTTCACGTTTATTCGATGACGTTTCAGCGATGCGTTGAAAGTCTCTATCGATGTGTGGAGTTGCATATACGAAACACTGCCATCGGACTCCCTTGAAAGAAGATTTTGTGAATTTTTTAAAGTATCGAAAACCACAGGTTTTTCCTCAGAAGCTGTCGTACTTTCACATGGCATCTTTATCTCTGCCATTCAAATTCCAAGGCCAATTTTCACTTTTAGGCTTGCACATTGGCTATTACGCGAGCGAAAAAAAAGTTTGTAATTTCATTCAATCCTTCTATTATATAAAGCGCTAACTTTGTGTGTCGGTTTGTGTATCTGTATGTGTGTGTGTGCGTGTGTGTGTGTGTGTGTGTATGTATGTGTGTCCGTCCGCAAAATGAAGTGAGTGAGAAGGAAGCTCATGGGATAAACAAACCGCTAACAAATCGGGTAGCTTACAGGATTTGAGATATCAATGTTTTGTAGCAGGATAGTTGTGATAACACTCTTAGGGCTATATAAACACCTGCTTAGCACACTTCCGTTCATTCCACATGGTGCTGCAGTGGCAGCTGGAGGGCAGTGGAGAGAGAGGAGGGATGAGGAAGGGAAGCGAAAAATCTACCGTCATATCATGATTGTGTCCCTTCTACTGTATGAAACACCATTGTGTTGCATACGCGTCACTTCCAGGAGGTGTTGGTGTCACAGGAGGAAGGGACCATAGCGGAGGATAGAAAGCTTGCGCAGGAAAGGAAGGTCCCGGCGGTTGACGGGGGACTAATCTGGTAATATAAACCATACTCACCTTGACAACATACGTATTCGGCCTGTTACGTATAGAAAACCTCTCGAGTGACATCCGCAACGCATCGCAACCAATCGCTAACGGGTCGCGTCCACTACCACGTGGAAGCCGCAGGCGTGGATGGATTTCAAACCTAGAATTATTCCACTTTTTTGCTAACTGAAGGGTCAAAAATCGCGTCACACAGCTGAAGGCGCAGGTTTGAACTGACGAAGTGCGATAAAACTATTTTTGTGACCACATCAGCTATACCGGCATCAAAAAACAAGCTAAGCACTTCAACATCATGCGTAGCACCAGAACAAAAATTTTGTGTGTGCCCAGCGCAACTTTGCCTTCAAAGCTTCACTGCAACAATAATCGTTGATCACTCACCATAACTTCTTCTGTAGTGGACAAGCAAAATAACCCGGTGGAAAAGTAAAACGGGCACCATGGGTGATATGAGTATCCAGTTCTTGGTCTTCTGACACTTAAATGAAACATAAATGGAACATTTTCAGTTCATTAGAATTTAACAAATTTGAAACAATGTTGACAAAAATCAGAGGCTTTTATTCTCTCCAAAACCTGGAGATGGACTCCAGGACTTTTGGACTCTGCGGCGAGCGTCGAAACGCAGTAATTGAAAAAAAAAATCAAAAAAGTGAGATGGGCAGAAGGTGGACTCTCAAATAAACAAATAAATTCTCAGAAATACTTTAGAGAAACCGCTATCTGAACAATGAATGCTTTAGTTCAGGAGGCTGTGGGCAATAAGAGATACTTCTGTTATACACGTGCTGAAGCGCTGAGGGAGGGGGGAAGGGATGGGAGGCAGGTTCAGTCCTATAGTTGTTACTTTTTCAAAATTTTTTACGACCCCCTTCCCCAAGGTGGACTTGGCACGGGGGGGGGGGCGGGCGGCGGCGGCGGGGGGGGGCGGGTACGACCCCTTTTCGACCCTCGACCACCATATCCTCTCTATAGTATTTAATTCTGGTACCACTCAACCCACCAAACTCCGCCCACTTTTTCCTCCAAAAATGCCGTCGAGCGGGGGGGGGGTATATACCCACTATGAAACAGTAAAAATTCCAAATTTCAACCAAATTTACCCCACTTCTACCTATAATCCCACTGCTTCATTTTCTAGGGGGGGGGGGGGGTAAGTTCACCACCACAAACTCACATGTACTTTCACGCGACTGAAGCGGATACGACCCCCCTCCTATAAACTCAACCAGGTACGACCCCCCGTTGTTACTAGTAACAACGTAGGGTTGACCCTGCTTGGGGGAGACCAACGAAATACCATCCAGTGTCACTATAACCCCTAGCATCGAAATGAAAGGAATAATCGTTAAAGAATACGCTGTGCAGTTTTCCGCAGTGCTCCTACCTTGCCTCAGAATAGCTGTTCTTACGAGCTCCGTTACATTATCCTGCAGTACTTCAATATGCCCGTTGACACCACGCGTCCATGAGGTTGCGAAAATTTTTCAGTGGAGATGGGATTACCGTTAGCAATCTGGACTATTCTTAAAACCAACAAAATCCTATTTGCTTAAAGCGAAAATTATATTAGGAGGGCCCACTTGCGATTTGCCCTTACCAGGAAGGTCTTTCAGGGCGTGACAAGCTTTTTGAAAACGGTCTTTTGCATGATATAGGGGCAGATGCGGGAACCACAGAACCATGTTCAATTTTTCCTGAACGGCCCTCTGAATACCAGAAAAGGAGGTCCCTAGTTCGATTCCTCGTGGTAACAAATTTTTGCATTTCGAGTTGACGTGCCAAAATTCGCGCAAAATGGAGTTAGAACCAACCAGAACAATCAGAACTCCATTTTGCGCGAATTTTGGAACGTCAACTCGAAATGCAAAAATTTGTCACCAAGAGGAATCGAACTAGGGACCCCTTTTCTGGTATTCAGAGGGCCGTTCAGGAAAAATTAAACATGGTTCTGTGGTTCCCGCATCTGCCCCTATATCATGCAAAAGACCGTTTTCAAAAAGCTTGTCACGCCCTGAAAGACCTTCCTGGTTAGAGCGGTTGGTAAACCCGTACTTGGGGTGGATGTGCTCGAATATTTCATGTTATCAAGCCGTGTTTGGCGGTTGAAGCCTTTTTATGTACACCGAGCGGAGGTATCGACAACTGGCTACGCTACCACACGCTTGATATGCCCTCAATCCCTCAACGACGGGAAGCAGCAATGATCTGGGTGGCTGAAGACACTGAATTGCGCATCGACCGGCCTCCCCATGCCAGCATAATCCGAGCATGAATCACCGATACGAGTTTCAAGAAAGGTTGAATGCGTGTCGCTATCCGAGAAGCGCTGGTTTTTTGGCGATTTATCTCTTTTAGACTGTAGCGTTAAAGGTTGGATTCCACAATAAGCCAGCCAAACGGGGAACTACACCTAATCGAAGACAGGCCGCCCCTTATCAGTGCGGTACAATGCGCGTTTCCTAGCAAAGAGGATGCCCCAGGTCAGCGCCGCGCCGGGTCAATGAGTTAGAGAAGAGGGGCACGTTTTCAAGTCTGAGCCGTTTTACTCACGGTTTTTTTTCCTTGACCAGGGCTTAACTTTGATTTCTAATGGACTGCCTTTTCGTAGCGAACTTCGTCCTAAAGTTGTTGGTCGAAAAAATCATGCATGTGTTCCAGGAAGAAGAAGAAGTGCAATGGGTGTGAATTTTTTCATGGCAAAATCACAGGTACAATATTGTGCTTCCCGAGGCATCCCCATGATAACGATTTGCTTTGCATTCTGGTAGCAGTAGAGACAGTCATGAAAGACTTGCTTTTGTTCGCCGAGGGTCAGTTCAGAATTTCACCCTCAACTTTCATGACTCACGCAAACTCGTGTTAATATTTAACTTTACAAGTTATCCAATTGATAAGTATTGGGGGGCGGAGTGGTGTAGTGGCAAGTGGCGCGCTTACCACGCGAGCGGTCCGGGGATCAAATCCTGGGTCGTGAGTCGCCCGGGCCAACCAAGCCTTCCATCCCTCCGGGGTCGGTTAATTGGTACCAGACTTGTCTGGGAGGATAAAAACACTGACTTGTACATCGGCTGGCCCCCGCAAGTCATTGTATAGGCCACATCGCATTCAAACGCCACTACGAATGTACAAATGGAAGTAGAATGCGTGCCGCATCCCAAAAAGGGATTGATCAACGGCAAATGCTTTATCCTTTTTCCTTTATCATGACAAGTCTTGCCCAACATTTCTGTAATAATTTTAACTTCGTATAAGCTATTTTTCAAAAACGTATTTAAAGCAGGCAGTAATTGCCATAGGGAGTTCAACATTCTGGTCAAAGGAGAAAGATTTTAAGTGATAACTGGGTTAACCACCAATTGAACGAATCTCGTGCAGAAACGGATTGAAACGTACCCGAGGAGGTATTACTGCGATCCAACGAGCCATCGTGTACAGAAATCGAATCACTCATATTCGTCATCAGCAGAGAATCGCACTCCCGCAATTCGAACATGCGATTCAATAAAAAAACTCCTGTAGAGAACAAAAATGAGGAACTTCAGATCGGAATTAAATGACCCTGATATGTAGTTAATGAGTCACTGTGTTGAAAGACTTCGAAAATAGGAGTCGGTAAACGATTTTTAGCGCTTACTATTAACAATTTCTGCACAAAATTTCTGTACCATTTCAGGCCAAGATGAAAACTGTACCAGTAAATACGCACCTGATTCACTACACGAATCGTCTGACGGCATTTACGCCATGCGAGATCAAAAATACGATAGTGGCGACCGTTCTCCCTGGAAAAAATTCTGATTGCTGCAATCTAATTACCTCGCCTGAGATGATCAAAGTACCATAGGAACACTAATTTGAGTGTAGTCTAGCACATTGAAGACGCCAGTTTGTTTTCTACTCCTCTGGCCCCTCCCAACACAGAAGACGGCAACCAAAGAGAGCGGAAAAAACCTGCGGGGAAATCAGGAGAATCAAGCAGGGATGTATAGCCATCACGGATGTGGAAAGCTAAACGACCCGTTTTAATCATTTCGTTATAATGGTTTTTTCTTACTAAATTGGAATATGCAGGGGCCATGGACACTATTCCAGTGAGAGAGGGCGCAGATACTTTTGCCAAATGCTTTGTCCACCGCAATCATCCGAAAGCCCCCAAATAATCAGAAGCTCTACAAATAACCCCACCTTTGGCAGAACTTGCAACTTAATAGCTTCATCGATGATCAATATCACCCAAAAGTCGAACAACTGATCTTTTCTCAGCAGCTCACTCGTGTCGATTCCATCATTTTTATCTAAACGCTCGATATTCATGACAGTAATCTACTCTCCTTCTGCAACTATTCAACCCTGATCAAATACTCACTTCCACTGTTCTGCCTCGAATAGCGCTCAAATGCAGGAATATCCTCGACCTGAATCCAACATCATTACGAGAACAATAAGGTACGTACGGTTATAACAACAGGCTGAGTAACGGTCAAAGACATAGCCATTTGCTGTGTAAGAATAGTATCGAGAGAGAATGTAAGCGTGATAAATAATAATAATTTGAATCGAAAATTAGAAAGCAGCCAGTGTTGCAGCTAGAGGGCACGCTGCAAGATCTCACGCAGCTGTCCTTGAATAGGCTGTATAACT